AAAGGCAAAGAGTTGCCTTCAGAAGGGCCATTGTTTTTATGCAAGATAACTCTCCCTCACATGCTGCTCACAAGACTGCTGAATATTTGAAACAGTTAGGCTTCGATGGACCTCGAAAAATGAAGTGGCCAGCAAATTCTCCGGATTTGAAATCCAATCGAAAACCTTTGGAGCATCATGAAGCGAAGACTGTACGCCAACGGACGACAATTTAGGAGCAACGCTGAGTTGTGGGAAGCAATTCTTGACATATCTCGCGGCATTACAGCAGATGACATCCTACAATTAACAAATTCTATGGAACGTCGAAGTAATTTCAAAACATGGAAAGCACATTCCTTATTAATTTGTTTAAAACTGTGCCTTTGTTTGTATCTGTTATTATTTGTTCGATTATCTTATTTATCAGCTTCTTTTGATCATAAACATTCACGTGCAATATTAATAAACGTTTTGTTTGCTCAATTCTGGGGATTTTACTAAACCTTTCTAATAGTTTGGCACGGTCAAATCACCGTGCTGATAACAAATATGGCGCCAGTTTGTTTACGTTGCGATCAGTACGAAAATTTCAGTGATTGTGTAGGTCAGTGTTGCCAACATTGTGTGAAAATTTTGCGTGAATTGATTGGACGGTTTTTGAAATATTAGAAAAAGTTATCTCGATAATAATTTGGCATGCAGTGTACATATATATACATATACATACATATATATATATGCATATATATATATATATATATATATATATATATATATAGACATATATATATATATATATATATATATATATATATATATATATATATTAACAGTGGATGGATAAAGTACAAAAAATAATCGGAAAGGAAATGATGAACCCACCATGTCTCTCCTGTTTTCCTCAATCTTTTTTAAAAATATATTTTTATTAATTCCCTTCTTAACATTTCTTTTTCTTAAACACTCAGAGAAACTCTAAATATTATTTTAAGCAAATTTATTTATGAAAAATCGATGAGGAGCATTACCCAGTGGCCAGACTATCCACAATAAGAAAAGAAAATTTGTCATTTGCATTCAACAACTCATGTGTTTCATTCGGCAACATAAGAACTGTAAACAATTTGTTTCATGGTATGGAAGCCGGAGGTGTCATATGGATTCATACTTTTCCTAAGGCTATTTGTGTAAAAGTGAATGCAACAAACCTGACCAGAATCCGAACACAGCTTGCTGTTTTGTCATTCCAAACCACTAGTTATTACAATTCATACAAATTCGTTAGCTTTTAAATGGTTGAAACCTGTGCATGACAAAAGCTTCAGATAGGAGTAATATTGACAAGAATTAAACCTGAATAGAAATTTGCAATATATGCATTGAAATGCACTTGCATTTCAGTTTAAATTATTGCAATGATAAATGTTTATTGTTTTGCTTTTGTCTTTGATGCTTTGTACTTCCGTTGTTAAGAGGAAATATTTGCACAAACAATTGGTCATCATAGATTCATTAGCGTGACTTCTTTGCAAAATCGGAAGCACAAATGAATGATAACTTTTAGCTTCAAACATGAGAGATATTAATTTTCTGCTAGTAAGCAATGTCTCTTCTTTATCCTTACATATGATGAAGACAATTAAAGTGACTGAGATGTGGTTCTATCAAGGAATGTTGAAAATATCATAGAACAGTGACAAAAAAGGTTCGAAGAAAATAGGAATCAAAGAAACTTCAAGAAAACTTTCAACTAAAATAACCGAGGCACATAATGAGGAAAGAGGCCCTTGAGAATTTAAGACTCACAAGATACACTGATGACAGGAAAAGCAGGAGGAAATTTGAGTGAATGGGTGGCAAAGCAAGAACAAATAATGATGGTAAAGTGTGAGAAACAGAAGACAGGAAATCGTGGAGAGCTATAATCGCCTTTATCTTGCAATATATGGCACATAAAAGAGGAAGAAGAAACAATGGTGGCATACAATATTGTTTAGTAGTTGAATGAAAACTACTCTGATGTCAACTTGTGCCATTTCTGTTCAGCTCAATGTCACATGCTCAGTTTGGCGAGTTATGTTGAAGATATTGTGAGAGAGACATAGTGGAAGGCAGATGTTAGAATTCAAGTAGCAGAACTTTTGGATACATTGTAGTATCATCATACCAGGATAGAATTTGCACTCAGTATCACACCAAATCATCAAAGGTGCAAAGGTCAATTGAGGTGGCCTCCTGACCACCAAATACAGAATAATATGCCCTTACACCTGCACCTGGTCTTTTAAGCATAGGAACAAGCTACATAACAGAGATAGGTATATAAAGAATCACCCCAGAGAGAGAATCTCACAGACATCACACATGGGTCCACATTTTAGACAAAGGGACCCAGAGTTACCCATACACACAGACATTGACAAAGGGTAATTGTCAAAGTCAAGTATTGTATAAATGTAATAATGAGAAATCGTTTTCTTTTATTCATTAGTCCACAAGTGTTATCAATTGTGACAATGACTACATTACAACAGTATCAATATATTTAATGATAGTGTTCACTACATGCCAAGAACACTTCATTACAATCTTCTCTTGATATATATAACAAAGGGCTATTATAAGATTAAAAGATGCATATATAAGAAATATGTAGTTATTATTAAACTGTGCAGTGCTTTGAGCAGATAAAGTTCACAAACTCTCAGTGAGCAAAATTATTGGACAATATTTACTTTCAGATTAACATCCTCATCTTTATCACAACATTACACCCACTGTGTCCTCTGGCTTTCTGCATGGCTCTGTCAATCTTACTAAACTTCAAAGAATTTCAAATTTCAAATCTTTATTTAATCAACTGTGTTTGTCTTGTCTGGTTTTCACACATCTGCACATCAAGAGTGCCTTTCTCAACTAAGAAAAACACTGGTGTTATATAGCTCTCCCAGTCCCAGACCCATACTGATTATTGACTAATATCTGTCCAGTATCGTTCATATGCAAATAGTCAACAGCACCTACTCTAAGTAGAAGGTCTTTTTTCAACAGCCCATTGTGGAAACAGATACATTTCCTGCTGCTTACAGCACTGCATACAACCAACTTGTAGTCATTTATCAGGCGACCCCAATTCACTGCTACACCAACAAAGGTAGATTGTTCTCATTTTGCTGTCTGTGTCTATGGATATCTTGTCTCATTTTTTTTCTTTTGTTATTGCTTTGCTCTGTTTTCACTGAGTCTGTCCTGTGCCACCAAATTACAAAGCCGAAACATGATAAAGAAGCAGACATAAATAAGATAAATAAGATTAACTCCTCATCCCAGAAATTTAGACAGAAATCATTGTACAATATTTATTAAATCATTTAACTTATAGAATTATAATTTAGCATGTGTAGCTCTCTTTAGCATAAATGGCACAGGCATGAGATACCCAGTGAGGAATGAAAACAATGCACTAATGATGGCAAGATGGACTAACTAGTCAGTATGCTAATAAGATATACCTGACTTATCAAATCACAAGCAGCTACTTTGCAGAACTAACTCCCAAGAGGATGCTTCCCAGATAAATGCAACCTTTTTCAATTCTAGGCTTAACTTATCTGCCCAACATATCCTCATAAAGCGTACCTCTTAATCTGTAACCCTTAAACTCAAGTGGCTCTTGGGACTTGGACAGGGTGAGAATTATAAAAAAAGAAAACACAGACACACAGATTGTCACAATTTTATATTTTAATTTTGTGCAAACATGTATGCATTTGATTTTGTCAGTGGCACACTATAGTAGGGTCAGTTGGGCACTGCCCATGAGAATAAAAAAGCACCATGACACAATTCACTCTGCCAGAAATTGAGAAACACCATGTTGTACTGCTTGGTATTCTTGCAGGAAGATGCAATATGAACATTTTAAAGTGTTTGGGTGTCAATCTGAGGACAGTGCAGAGGATTTGGAAAGAGATGGATGAGTCTAATATAATTTTGGTAAATATATCTGTTAAAATGAGATGTCAGTATTATTTTCCTTTTTGCATAATTTAGATGACAACTTTGCACCCTGTATGTATAAGATTTATGAATCTTAACTTTTCCACTTCCAATAAGTACCAAGCTAATATTTTTGTTTACAAAGATATATGATATCCTACAAACTGTTGAGTAATGGCACCATAGCTGTGGCAGATCTCATGTCTCCTCATGACAAACCCAAGGAGCTAAATCTTTGGCATTTTGTTTTCCTATTACTCTAAAAGAAAAGAGTTCCCAATACATAAAGCATAATAAATTAATGATTTCCATCCCAAAAAAAAAACAACCTATATGCATATAGTTATGTAGCTGTCACTAGAAAGAAAAAACACTGATATTTTTCATGATCTGAAAACAAGTCAGTCCACAACAGAAGCCTAATATAAGATAGAACTAATTTCATTCCCCTTTAATCATGGAGTATTTCAGAAAAGCAAACTCTTGAAGAGAAAGTTGTGTTTATTGCTCATGAACATCCAGATCCTGGACTTCCTCTTTCAACAAAGCTATTTCTCAGCAAATTAATAATTCAGCCATTGGACAAGTACTTATCTACCTGACTCCTGAGAAAATTGATTCCAGATCTTTTTCATCGAAGACTAAAATTATTTTTTTTTAACCTTCTCTGATTGTGTGCTGATACCGGCATTGAAACCCCAAGACTTACTCTATTACTAAATAAAAAACAAAAAAACAAATTGTCATTACTCCTTGGAATTAGTACTTAAGATTTCGGTCTCCAGAACTAATACTCAGACAATTGAATTATAGTCTTGGGAAAGAACCATTCCGTTTCGTTCTATCATTTATTCTATTAGCATTTTTTTCTTTTGTCTATCTTCCATTTATTCATTCTTGTTATCTTCTGAAGGTCCATCTAGTCATCCATTCTTGAAATATCATCCTCATTTATTATTATTATTCCTTCCATTTGATTTCTGGATCTGACAATGCTTTCACTTGTAAACAACTCGAAGGTCAGTAAGTAAATACAATGAACTGAAATATCTAATTCCCTTTCTGCTTCTATCAATCTATTTTTTTTTCTTTTTCCTTCTTTTGCTTCTTTTTTCATTTGTCATTCTTTCCTTTTGCCTGATAACTTATTCTTTCCATTTTTTTTTTTTTTGCCTCATTCTTGTTTTCTTTTTTTTACTTGGAAAATTTTTCTCCATTCTTTTTCTCTTTCTTGGTGTCTTTTTATTCACTATCCTTTTTTTTTCTATTCTTTCATTCATTTTCCTTTTATCTCTACCTTTTCCAATCTTTCTTTACATCTTATTTTCATTTTCTTTTCTTTCATTTAACATTGTCTTTTTCTGCTCACTTTTTCTTGTTATTCTTCCTTCCTTCAATTCTTTTTTCTATTACTGTTTTGTTGGTTTTTTTTATTTCTTTTATTTTTTTAATTATTTTATGTTAATTTTAATATTGATATATAATATCAATTTTTTTACTGTTTCTACTTATATTTTTGTTTCTTTTAAAATTTCATTCTTTTAATTTTTCATTTATATTTTTCCATTTCTTCAATATTGAACCATATTTTGTTTCTTTGCTTATACTTCATTTCTTTTTTTTCTTTCCCTATAAATTCTTTCATCTTAGCCTTTTCTTTCTTCCTCAGTATATTTTTTCAACATCTTTCTTTTGTTTTCTTTTTCATATAATCTTCTTGTCTGTATTTTATTCTTTTTCATGTTTTGTATCTGATTTTTCATTTCTTTCCATGTTATTTCTTTCATTTTCTGTTTATTTTTTTTTTGGAGATGTTCTCAAATGATCTTTCTTTCTTTCACTTTCTTTTTCTTACTCTCACTTGTATTTTCTCTTTTTCTGGTGGCGGGATTGATATTACATGCGTGACTAAACATTTTTTTCCTTGAAAGTAAAGAATTATTTTCATGTGGAATTCTCCGTTATTTTTTCTTGTCTTTCCTATGATTATTTCCATGTCTTACATTGTTCTAAAAATGGAACGACCATTTCTCCAGCCTATCATGTGCCAAATTTCTGATTGACATAGGTGCTTCCACCATTTGCTGCTTGTTTGGCTTTTTCAATTCTAACTTCGATATGTCTATATTAATAAAAAAAAACCCTAAAAAAAAGAAACCAAATATCTGAAATAAGCACAGATAAAATTTCTACAAATAGCAAAATCAATAAACATAATGGTGAGGAAAGAAAGAACATTTTATATATATATATATATATATATATATATATATGTGTGTGTGTGTGTGTGTGTGTGTGTGTGTGTGTTTGTAGTTTTATATATATATATATATATCATGTTATTGTGTAGAGGCTATCACTGAAGAAAGATGAATTTTCATGCTAAGTTCAACTTCTGGCTGACTTCATTGCCTTCACTTTTCTACAAATGCCCTTGGGAAAACTATGGGTTAAATAGCCAAGTAGACTGGGCTCTCTAGCTTTGTTTGATAATAATTTTCAGAGAATGAATGACAACTCTTAATTCAAAACTTGGGAATGGAGATGGCAACTTCACTTCATAAAAACTACAGCAGCAGGAATAATTAGCTCTGTGCAGAACTGGCAAGTTTAAAACATTTTCATATATATATATATATATATATATATATATATATATATATCAGTAGTGATAGACCATGTCCATGTTGTCTATATCTATTTTATACTGAAAAAGCTTTTATAAATATCTCAAATGTAAAATATATATATATATATATATATATATATATATATATATATATATATATATATAAATAAAAAGAAAAGAACAGTAAGATATAAAATCCGGTGTTCTTATAGATATTTTATTTTTACAAAATAGTGCCACCCACTTTACGGATATTACAGAAGAAGAAAGGAACATTATTCTGTTAGCAAAAAAATCAGTACTTATACATAAAGGTGAGGAATGGGTTAAGAATTCTTACGACAAATTTGACATCACAATGGGATCACTAGACTCAGCTGAGTCTTCTGATCTCATTGGCCTCTTTATATTATACAATCTTACAGCACACTATGAAATTAATACAGATGATATTGGTTTGTACAGGGACGATGGGGCTAATGGTCATTAGAAACTCAACGAACTTCAAAATAGATAGAATTAGAAAGTTATTATATAAAGAATTTAAAAGCATGGGCTTAAAATTACAGTTAGTACTAAATTAAAAAAAGTAGACTTCCTAGATATAACTTTAGATCTAAATAAAATACATACACACCTTATAAAAAAACCCAACACCAATCCTTTATATATACATCCTAAATCAAATCACCCCCATCTATAATTAAACATATACCGTTATCCATAAGTAAACGAATTAGTACAAATTCAGCTAATAACAAGATTTTGATGAGCATATCAATGGCTATAATAAGGCTCTAAAAGATAGTGGCTACAAAAAAACCCAAAACTAGTGTATATAAAAAATGAAAATGGAAAACATAGAAAAAAACAGATGTGAAAAATTATTTGGTATACTCCCCATATAACCAAATGGTAAAGAACAGATTAGGACATAAATTCCTCACATTAATAGTCAACATTTCCCTTGTGAAAATAAACTAAGTACTATTTTCAATAAAAACACACTAAAATTAAGTTATAGCTGTACAAAGAACTTAGAAAAATCATTAAGAACCATAATGCTAATATCTTAAATAAACACTTATACCAAAACCAAAAAAAATTTGACAATAGAAAATTAAGATAAAACTGATGTAAATAAACAAAAACTATGTAATTGTCGAAACCCTCAAAATTGCCCACTACAAAATAAATGTTGCACTGAATCATTAGTATACCAATGCAATATCTCTTCGATTGAAAATCCTGATAACATAAAAAAATATATATAGGTTACTAAATGAATTCAAAAAAGATTCAACCAACATCAAACTTCATTTAGAATAAATAAATATAAAAATCAAACATCTCTCTCAAAATATTTCTGGCATCTAAAAGAATCAAATAAAACACCTACAGTAAAATGGAAGTTAATAAGAAGAGCTAGAATTTGTAGATCATTAAACAACCCGTGTCCTCTATGTATACAAGAGAAACTATATATTACTAAGTTTATAAAAATAAAATTTACTGAATCAGAGAAATGAAATAGCTATTATATGCCGTCATTGTCAAAATTTTCCTTAAATAATATATAAAAAAAAAAAAAAAAAAAAATTGGAATGGCAGGAAAATGTTTTAAACTGTTATTTAAAATTGTGGTTAAAAACGTATAAAACATAAACACCCGTTTAAAAATTGTAGTTAAATAAAATGTATCCTAATGAAACACCTCTATAATAAATGTACTACAAACACTTGAATGAATCCGATAAAACACCTCCTGAAAAAATGAAATTATAACTAAAGCTAGATGATGTAAGGTAAAAATGTATGACCCATTGTTCTTTGTACTGCATACATATGAAACTTTATTACTCAGGTTACATATATTTAAAATAAATAATTTAATTAATTAATACATAAAGTTTACTAAATCTGAGAAATGACTTAGATATAGTTTTGTAGTCTGTGCCATTTATATTACTTAAATATTTAAATATAATAGTTTAAAATTGTAATTTACATATACTTTGTTATGGAAAATAATTATACTTACTATGAGTAATTATCCTTCTGTTATAAAAGTAATATAGTCAATTAAAACTAACAATGAAAATATTTTTAAAATTTTAATGTGGTAATTTTAAAATTGTAATTAAAATTGTAGTTAAATAAAATGAATTCTAACCTGTTCTTGGTACATACATATGAAACTTTACTACTTAGGTTACATATATTTAAAATAAATAAATAAATTAAGTAATAAATAAAGTTTACTAAATCCGAGAAATGACTTGGCTAATTTTGTAGTAAGTTCCATTAATATTACTAAAATAATATTTTAAAATATAAAGGTTTAAAAATTGTAATTTACATATACTTGGATATTGAAAAATAATTTTACTTACTATGAGTAATATTCCTTCTGTTATAAAAGTAATATAGTCTAATATAACTAACAATGAAAATATTTCAAAAAGTTTAAAGTTTGTAATTTTAAAATTGAAACTAAAATTAAAGTTAAATTGAATGAATTCTAACCTAAGTTTTTTTTAAATAATACTACACGCACTAAAAAAGAATCCCAAAAAAGCAAATATAGTAAAATAAAATTAATATGAAATGCCATAAGATGTAAGCTTTTGAATGACCCATGTCCTTTGTACTTACATGAGAAACATTATATCACTAGGTTTTATATATATATAAAAAAAAAAAAAAAAAAAATGTAACCTCATATACATACTTAAACTTGAATTAATACATAAAGTTTACTAATTTGAGAAATGACTTAGATAGTTTTGTAGTCTGGGCCATTAATATTCTTAAATAATATCTAAATTAAAAGTTTAAAAATTGTAATTTACATATACTTTGATAGGAAAAAATTTTTTACTTACTATGAGTAATTATCCTTCTGTTATAAAGTAATATAGTCTAAATTAAAACTAACAATGAAAATATTTTAAAATTTTAAAGTTATAATTTTAAAATTTTAAAATTGAAATTAAAATTGTAGTAAAATAAAATGAATTCTAACATGTTATTTATACATACATATGAAACTTTATTAATTAGGTTACATATATTTGAAATAAATAAATTAATTAATTAATAAATAAATAAAGTTTACTAAATCTGAGAAATGACTTAGCTAGTTTTTTGTAGTAAGTGCCATTAATATTACTTAAATAATATTTAAATTTAAAAAGAAAAGGAAAAAAAAAAAAAAAAAAATAAATGAATAAATAAATAAATAAATAAACATATACTTTGATATGGAAAAATAATCTTACTTAATAAGAGTAATTTTCCTTCTGTTATAAAAGTAATATAGTCTATTAAAACTAAACAATGAAAATATTTTAAAATTTTAAAGTTGTAATTTTGAATTTGTAATTAAAATTGTAGTTAAATTGAATGAATTCTAACCTAAATTTCTTTTAAATAATACTACACGCATTAAAAAGAATCCAAAAATAACACCTATAGTAAAATAAAATTAATATGAAATACCATAACATAACATTTGCTTTTGAATGACCCATGTCCTCAGTACTTACATGAAATATTATAATAATAGGTTTATATATAAAAGAAAAAGTTTACTGAATCAGTGAAATTAAGTAACCATTTCTGCTGTCATAGTCATATAAAAAAAAAAAAAAAAAAAAAAATGTAACCTCATATACATACTTAAACTTAATGTTAAAATAATCCTACATAATATAATGGATTCTAATACATTTAACTGTTCTTAAAAAAGAATATAGTAAAATAAAAATTAAAAAGGAAAATATTTCAAATCGTAGTTAAATAAAAAAAAAAAAAAAAAAAAAAATCTTTAATTTTAAAAGATGACGTTGAAAATTTTTACCGTTAACAATTTTTTTTTTTTTTTTTTTTAAATTCAGACGACATCCATTCAACCGACGTCAGGTTTCAGTGTAAAATACATCCTCACCCCTTACCAAAATGTAGCTAATAACTGATACAATGATACTGTCATAAGGAAAATCTAGACACCCCGTGTTCAATTTGAGTAGAATATTCTGTAACCATGGAAACGTGATTTTAGCTGTGTATTTAAAACCCGGTAAATTTTAAAAGTTACTCCAAAATTCGCTTGAAGATGAAATAGAACTAATGCTTTTAATTTATTTGCAAAAATAAAATTAGGGGTTTTAGCTTCTATTTTGAAACATGGTTGG